TGACAAAGTTACTTTCGTCGGACATCAATATTTCTAAATGAAGTTTCCGTGAAACTTGAAATAATGGACATTCCTACCATTTGTGTTCGACACGATGTATTTTCCAGCCAGCGAACCGCAACCGTATGACGTCGAAAAAAAAAAAAAAAAACAAAAAACAACATTATCGCTCGAAAATATCGCTGCGTGATCAAAGTCATTCCGCGAGATCAAAGCAACCCCATTTTCCGCGATACGTGCACGAGATACACTGTGGCTTGCCGAACGTTTTTGTTCCCCACCTTTGGCAAAGTTGCGAATTTTTCTCGCCATTATCTCGTCTCGTGCCGACAAATTCTTTAGACAAATTCTTTATGTCGAAACCGTTCGTCGATGTTTATCTGCAATGGCGGCCGCATTTTCAGAATGTACGTATTGTACATTCACGCACGACATTATTATTACGAGATGTCATGTGCGGGGAGGAACATCTCGTTGTAACGCGTTATTAAATATTTTTCTGATTGTTTATACGCGCCTACTGTCACTTCTATTTTACGGCACGACCGTATCATCCATTTGTCACGCTTCGATTTATTTCGAGTTGATTTTTCTCAAGAGTTATTCGATGCTTGACGAATTTAAAGTTTCACCTTCAAATATTGTATAAGTTCGTGAATTATTATTATCGTTACAATCACGGTTTAATAAAATCGATGAATTGGCGAGATCCTTTGTACAAGTGACGGATGCGATTGTTTAAATGGAACGATTTTCTGCTGTCTTATTCATCAAAACTTATCTCGCTCTGGAGCTCTTATTTTTTTATTATCTCAGTTTATCATTTATCTCTCCAGTTTTTTTTTTCCTTTAGATTTCCATCGCGCTTATAAATCATTGTTGTAGTTGCTTTCACTCAGGAATCGCTCATTCAAGCGTACTTATCGACCAAGATTTTCTGAAGTGCGCTTGTAGCGCACTTTCACGTCGCGCTTCGTCTATTTTTCATTATTTCCCGACGCGCTTCGTTTACCTTCGGTAAGAAAAGCCCCTCCGCGTCTCTCCTTCATCCTGAACATCTGTGATGGAGAGCCGCGGTGTTCAATTTCGGTCGGAGCTTTTCTCAGTTTAGCCGAGAATTGATTCGTCTCGTGTTTATCTTTAATCTTATTAAAAATTTCCAATTTTCAGAATTTCATTTCAGTCCAACTTAATTGACATGATGTTTTTACTATTTATCCATATGCAATTTTTAATATTTTTCTAGCGCAAGAAATAGATTTAAACCCACGCTCGCGGGAAGTATAATTATACTTACCTAGTGAAATATTAAACAGATTTGATTTATCTCTTGAATTGTAGAACTGGCAGGAATTATGCAGCAAGTTTGCAAATTGTTTTCTTTAATCTATACGTTTTCTTGGAATTAGATTTGGATTAAATGTTATTATTATTTATTTCTAATTCTTGCTTTATCTTTTACACTCTCATATTTTCTTATAAAGATAAAAATTAAAAAAACAAAAAACATTAAATTTTAAATTTTAGAATGATATTTAAAGCAAACGAAATTAAATTTAAAATGAAACTCAAAGAAAAATTAAACTTTAAATTAAATATAAATTAGAATATAGATATAGAGTAGATAAGAAATATAGATTAAATATAGAAAAGAAAAATAAATTAGAATCAAATCTAATTGCACGATAAAACTGAAATTACCTTACAACTTCGATTATTTCTACTAATTTTACAAATCTTGCTTTTGATTATCTCTTTAACTAATTTTGCCTAAATAATGAATGTAACATAATTGCGCAAATAACACGAAGATACTTAACTCGATACTTTAATCACATTTCTAAATCTAATTTTTAGCTGGTTTTAATCTTCCTTGCTCTAACCATAGATTTGTCATATTATATATTTATTTCTGGCTATTTTCAGCCGACTGAAATCAAATAAAAAAGAGAAACTGACGAGGATTATGACGTTCGTATCTAGCGTGCGATAACTACGTCGCGTTACGGTTTAATGGTTCGACACATTTCACAATAACGCCAATCTACGGCGGTATTAATTGTGGATGGCCACTTTATCGAGCGATCGATCGCGCGACGGGACATCAAAATCAGTTTGTAACAATCACTAATGGCGCATCCCCGATCGGGACGCTCGATAGCTCGCGCATCGCCATCGCGTCGCGAGACTCTTATCTCTGATCAAGAAACACAATCTATTCTACGCTAGGAAACGCCGTGACCCTAATCGCGCTGGGAGAGCTCTATTTCAGACCTATGCTTAGACAGGTGCACTTATCATCGAAGCACGAAAAATCAACATATTTTTTTCGATTTATTCTCTTTTACATTATATCTGTCTTGATGTTTTTTACATGTTAGGAAATAATCGAGCAAACTTTACGAAAGTAATTTTTCACAAAAGTTAATGGAAAATTTTTCGTCCGTTCGTTTAACGATGATATTTAATATAAAATGAATATATAATAGATATTACGTTAGAGATATAGCATTTTAATATTTTCAGACGGGAAATATTTCAGCGAAGGAGAAAGATTTAATTCATTCCGCATCTAATGGAAAGATGCCTTTATTCAAGTTAGGGACGGAATTTTCGGAATTTTGCACGCAATGTACTTTATTCGCGTTCGCTCCAACGAGGAGTGTAATAATAGGGGCGGCGAACTTTTTTTCGAACGTGTGTAATAAGCGCGCTATTTATTTGAGAGAACGCGAAAGAGGGGCTTCCAAACTTTTCTTTGGCCCGTGCGTAATAATAGAGAGATCGTTCCAAACACACTCATTCCTGATGTATCTAATAATAGAGAGCCAGTTCCGAACTTCTTTCTCCGCAAAGTGTGTAATAACAGGCAAACGGTCCTAAAACTTCCTCTTGATGCGTGTTCGAATGAGGAGGTGCCTCCCATACTCTCTTAATATATGTAATCACAGGAAAAGGAAATACGGTGCCAAACTTTCCTGACGCGTCTAACGATGACAGCAGAAGTTTCGAAGAAAGAATCGAGTTCGCTCCCCTCACCGCACGTTTCGTTTCGGGGGGGAAGACAGAGTGGGTGGAAGGAGATCCGACCGAATGGCGTGCCGCGGGCGATTGATGACTTGTGACCTACTTTTCGAGCCGGTGACCCAGATGCGAGGGTGCCTTGATGTAAGATATCCCTCTCTCCGCCTCTCTTTCCAAACGTGCTCTTCTTCCGCACTCTCTCCGCTCTCGACTGCCTCGCGGCTGGGAGTCGGCCGGGTTAGAGTTCTCTTTGACAGCGAGAACATATGGCCGATCTCGGATTCGGAAGCGACCTAGGTTACGAGATTTTCAGGAACCGATTAGCCAATTATTTCCGAAATGACACGCCTCAAAACTTCGAACGCGCCTTATTTATTGCTGCCTTATGCTTAAAAGGCATTTGAATATCCGGCCTGAAACTTACGTTTAAAGCGAACAATTTATTCGTGGATTTCTCAAGATGATCCACGTGAAAAATAGAGATGGTGATATTTTATTAATTATTTAACGCGCGAACAAACCGCAAATCGAGTAGTTTCCTATACAACCAATGTTACATCATGTTATTAATCCAATCGACGTGAACTATTGAAAAGCAGCAGTAAAATAAAAAAAAATGTCCTTCGATGTTTTGCATGCGAAGAGTTATTACTGCGGATATTTTAAGCGGAGCGTATTTTAAACGAGCGACTTATCGCTCGATGAATCATCGACATGATCGTTACTCTATTTTTCGCTCATGATTCATTATATAAGTGAAGGTGATATCGACGGAACGCTTGATACTTTATCAACATTATCCGAGGTAGATTGTATCATATATATTGTAAAAATAGTCGTGATAGCAAGGAATTTATCTAACTGCTTGGAAATTTCTATGAAACGTTAAAGTACATTCTGACGTACAAATAGCTCTCCTTTGATATATTTCTACGATTATAACATTTTTCCTCTACTTTCCTAAATTTACAATCTCTATTCAATATTTAGTCTGTATTAAAAAGCTAGTAATTTTTAATTTTGTAAGAAAGACATGATCTCTCGAAATATTTTTTCAATTCTACTTAATTCATTTTTCCATGGCAATTTGATCAGATCTCGTCCGCTCATGAGGGTAAAATCAGAAAGCCATACAAATCCTTCTTTCCCTCTTTGTAATCTACCGTTTTAGACTCGCTCATATTTCACGTTGCAGCAAGCGCGAGGCAAGAGAAAGAGATGGGGAAAGCAGGTCCAGGATTTGTTTATGAAATTTATGCTAAGTCAAGGTATAAGAAACCCGGATAAGCACCCGGGCAGGCAGGCAGGCAGGCAGGCAGGCAGGTAAATTCGTCTCTGTCAGTCAGCGTTGCGACGGGTAGACGACGATGCTCTCCGACTCGTCTCATCCCGCTCTCTCCCTCTCTCTTTGCTCTCCTAGCTTTCTCCTAGGATCCTCTCGCCGAATTGTGACAGCGTCGTCGTCGTCGTCCGCCGGAAGGATACGACGCCGCGCGTTGTGTATACCCGATGTGCGCGGCGTCGTATCGAAAGCAGATAGGGAGTGGGAGATAGGATGGAAGTGGGGTGGAAGTGCCGTCGACGGAGGGGCCGAGGAGGGGGGATTGGGTGCTCGCGCGGTGGTGGTAGTAGCGGGTAGGGAGGCTTCCACGTCGCAGAGGATCGAGAACGGTGTAACGTTGCTCTGGCCAGCACCACCAGCCTCAGTGTCGTTCCGGCCGCGGTCTCGTTCGGTCGTTTTTGGCGAAGGGTCACGAGTTTATGCTCCTTCGGCGTATCACCGCGACCGCCTCTCCTCCCGGCCTACTTTCGACCCGTGGAATTACGTTACGGTCTTCTGTCGAGCTTAGTCGCTCCGGGCCACCACTCGCGTCGAGGCTCGTTATGAATATGGGCTAAATCGAGACTCCTCATATCCGCGTGAGGATATCAGAATCAGTGGAGTAATGTGCCGCGATAAGTGAGTAAGCCTCGAAACGCGGAGTTGTCAGTGCCAGAGTGGCAGTGCGAGTGCCGAATTTACTCCGTATTATCGAAGATTACCGTCGTGATTGTGCGCCTGATAGCACTGGTGGCGCGGTCCGCGGGTATTGTAAGATGAGCCCGGCCTCCCAGGGCGCCCTGGAGGTGGAGCGTTACATCGGCAGCTGCCTGATCTCGTCTAACGTGCGCGCCGGGCTACACGGTAAATCCGTGGCCGTTTGCCGGAAACAGGAACAGCCAGCGACGGTACGCGGCGGCGGTAAGGCGCGCGGCTGTTACAATGGAGGGCAGGGTTATCCCTCCGGATTGGCCGATCAGCAGCAATGTCAGGTGCAATACGGCGGTCCGGGCGGTTGGACGGGCGCGCCACTAATATCAATGACGTCGAGTCCGCGCAGGTGTAATCAGCGATCGTCGCCGTCGCTCGGCCAGCAGCAGCAACAGCAGCAACAACAACAACAACAACAGCAGCAACAGCAGCAGGCGTGCGCCGAGCAGCAACTGCAGGTGCCACCAGGTGGTCACTTGCATAAAAATCCTCTGTCCAGGCTGGCGATTCACACGCAGGGCGCACCCTTGATTTTGGCCGGTCGATTTTACAATCGTGGCAAAGTGCACAACAACAATAACAATAACAGTGGCAACCCTAATGGCATCACTAACGCGCTGCCCTGTGGCAACGTTGCCGGTAATTACGTTCATAATGGCGCGAACCCGTCCATGACGAGCAACGCGAATGGTGCGACGAGGTGCCCGGCGTCGCGAATCACCCCTCAAAGGCCGACGGAGGCCATCCAGAAGAAACCATCGACGACGGCGTCTTCGAACTCCAAGACGACGAACGCCGACTGTTCCACCGCGGCGAAAGAAAACGCCGGTTCCTCGAATATCGCGAATATCGACTCGCTGAGTATCGCGAGCGACGAGAGCTCCGGCTCGAACAATTCGGAGAACAGTCTGCCGCGCATCATCAAGCCTCGCAAGCGCAGAAAGAAGGATCGCAAACCGCCGAATAACGTGGCGAGTGGCGGCGTCGACGCGGCTAAAGCGGAAGAGCCGCAAGCGCAGCGGCAGCCGCAGCCTGCCGGTTGCGGCGCCGTGTCCGGGGAACAATCCAACGTCGTCGGCGTGAAATCATACGCGCCGACTTGCTACGAGCCAAGGATCTACGAAGCGGTCGCGCCGCACCTCAGGAACTACCGGAGGCCACCGGTCGGCGGCCATCGTGAGAACATCTACGGCGGTTGTAGGGCGCCGACGATGCAGACCGAGATGACGGACAGGCAGCAGCGATACGCGCACCACCGGCATCACGTGCAAGTGAAAGTGCTGGACGACAACCGTAACGTGATCGCGGCGCCGATGCGTGCCGCGGCGCCGCCCAAGGGCTACCGGCATCATCACGATAACGGCAACTGTAGCGGCAACCTGCCGCGACGTTACGTTCACGAGTACGCGGGTGAGTCCTGCGAGGCCGCCGCCAGGGGGGACGGTCTGGGTCCGTGTCAGTGCCGATACTGCGATCCGGCCGGCCTGATCTGGGATGTCGACCGGAATGGCTACTCGCCGTTCCTGACGACAACGTTGCCGCCGCCAGCACCGCCGTCGTCGTCCGACATCGAGTACTGTCGCGGCGGTCATTTCGGCCAAATGCCGCTGTTCCTGACATCGCCGTGTCAAGCAAATCTTCAGGAACGAGCGCTCGACAGACTATTCAACGAGCACTCTCGACCGCACGACGACGTCAGAGACTCGGGGGCTGTCGCCGGGCCTGGCGGCGTGGTGTTGAGACGCAGCTGGAGCGACCCAACGAGTTACTTCAGCTACGGTGAAGAAATTGCCGCGCCGACGAGGGACGTCGGCGTGATCGGTGATCGAGGGGGCCAGTCCGAAAGCGGGAAACACAAACGAGCCCTCTGGCGTGGCGATAGCATCGGTAGCGCGCCAGCGAGCTCACCGGTGAATGCGAATGCCGCAGGTCCGAACGTCGGTAGCGGATCCGCCGTGTCCCCGAAGGGTCTAGAGGTGTCCACGGAAATCATCACGTCGCCTAACGGCCATCGGGATTTGGAGATCAAGTTCTACTCGTCGCCATCGCCCGCCGAACGTCTCGCCGAGGAGGACAAATCGTCGTCGAGTCTCGCCGGGGAGGCCGATGACGACGACAACGGGGACGACGATTTCAGTGACATATGGAGTTACCACGAGTCGAAGTTGCAGCAGGACTTCCGCACGCTGCTGCAGGCGGAGGAGTGATGGGTTGTCGTCGTAGGCGTTATCTAACCGGATATGTCCTCGAGCGTTCGCCATCATCGCGAATTCGTCTCTGGTGGAGTGCGAAGTGAGAACGAAACGGCAAACGCGCCGGCGACAGCAGAAATAGCGCGGAGAAAAGGAGGAGAGTGCGTGGGTGTTGAGAGACGGCAAGATATTTGGCCCTGTCTCGAAAACGAGTGACACGCCGGGAGAGGAATACAGACGATATTTTCTTCATCGTTCAGCGCAAACCTGCCTGATTGACGTCCGTCTTAATCTCGCGATGGTCGCTTTTACGTGCTCGGGGATGTCGGAGGAAGGCCCAGAGCCAAGCGCGAATGTCGCTAAGACGTCGCTGAGACCCGGGAAGACGTTGAAGGCGACAACGAGGAGGGGCTTCTCACCGCTAACGGTGTTCGTAGTATACGTGATGTGACGTGACGCGCGTGCACGCAATGCCGCACGCGACACGCCGTCGGATGGAGTGCCGATGTCGCATCGGCATTCCATCTAAATGATGTCCCGGCGTTCGGCGAAGTGAAATTGACTTCAGCAACCGAGAAACCGGTGTCGATCAGCCTTGTCGCGAGCAGCGTGTCAGTCTAGAGAGAGACCGGAAGAGCGTTTACTTGCGTGTGTGTGTGTGTGTGTGTTGTGCGTGTATACGCGCGAGCATGCTTGAATACGCGTAATGCACGTGACCGTGTCTGTCGGGTCTCTTTAGCGCATGAATTTTCTTTATAGGTTGTGACACGACGATCGTCGTCGGTCGTATAATCGATGTCTCGTATTCATACGAATTTTTTTCTGGCTTATGCAAGGATTTTATTGAACGGAACCGTTGAGTTAGGTTATCGTTGAAAGAAATCTTGAAATGAACATGAATCGCGCATCTCTCATCTATGTGTTTGCTAAAGTCGATTTATAGATCGTGCAATCGATCCGTCCGATCCTCACGTTCCAATTTGCACGGACGGATTAAAGAACGCTAGTCGATTAATTTTATCGATCTATAAAACGTTTATATATTTCTAATTGGCTTAATCGCGCCGATTACGCGTTACTCCATGCGTGGAGAATAGCCACTTTTTCCTCATTCTCATCAACGCAACGATATTCGCGGTACGACCTACGGCGAGAGAGCGCGCGTAGAAGATGTCTGCGAGCCAAGAAACGATGAAACTTAAGAACAAGGTGGAAGGGACGAGGGATAAAATATATATAACGTCCCTGATATTTTATGTATTACCAATCGGAATATCGGAATGCCTTTGCCGTGCCCTTCTGTAGACGTGGGACCACTCATCTCTTATGCTTCGGCTATATCTGTTTTCCGATCGATTGCCTTTACACAATGATTATCTTATCATGAATTTATTCTATCTCGTTCCGCGCGATCCCACGCCCAATTCTTATACCCCATTGTGTCTTGGCTCCGAGACGTATATCCGAGACCGACGCGAAGAATATTAAACTATCGCTTTACGCGTAATTAGGCACCGGCTATTTTTCCTCGATGTTCGCGAAGCGACGACGCGCGCGTGTGTTCTACGCGCACAACACCCGGTCTCAACAACCCTTTTAGCGGCACGGGAGAAAATCGTCGACCGAATTTATTCTCAACACGTGACTAGGCCTGCTTCGCTAGCCGCGAAGCGCCATAAGCCTCGTATTCTCATAGTTCTCGCGTCGCGCCATTCACGTCGGGAACGCGAGAGACGGAGTCGCGTGTGATGCCTAAACGGCGCGTCCGCCGCGAGAAAACTGGTCTCGACCGCCGTGCCGGCCGCAAGGGGTTAATCACGAGGGTTAATCGCGAGGTGCACGCTCGCGCGCCTGCATATGCCCGCCTCGCCCGCACCACGCACAAACACAACGCTCGCAACGCGACGTGACGATGCACACCGGCGGCTTTTTCTCGCCGTTGTCGCCGTCGCCGCCGCCGCCGCCGCCGCCGCCGCCGCCGCCGCCGCCTATCGCCGCCGCCACCATCGTCACCGCGCCAACGCCAATTTAAGACGAGTAGCGGCGACGTGACCGTTTAAAACATAACGTAGCAATTAATCGGAGGAACGATGAACGGTCCGGTCCGTTGTTGGCCGCCACCGCCGCCGCCTATCGTAATCGATGTCTGCGCGCCTTCCACCTCGTCTCTCTCTCTCTCCTTTCGCGCCCGATCGCGGGCGATAGTAGGTCGAACTGTTCCCCCGGCGGGAGAGAGAATCTTCATCATCATCTTCTCGCGAAAGGGGCCCGCCTCGCGTGAAAGGAGCTACCGTCCTTACTGGTAACTGCGTTTAATCGTGCGCTATCGCTGCGTTTTATCGGATAACTCGGCGCAACGGTTCGGAATCGGAGTCGAGCGCCGATAAAGCCGGGCGGCTGGCTCTCCGAGTTCGTAACATTGTTTCGCGTTTCCTCTTTTCTCTCCTCTCTCTCGCGCGCGCGCGCGCCGTTTACCGTTGCCTCTGCTAAATAACGGCAGGCGGACCAGATAAACGCGTTATTGATTTGTTCAATATCAATACAATCAAGTGGAACTATCGTTGCCGTCGTTCCGCCTCGACCCGCCGGAATTGGATGGGAGATATTGTCCTACGGTCTCCGTTACGGGATGTTTAACTCGTCTGGGATCGACGACTGGTAGTTCCGAAATTTGTAACGATCATTCTCTCTCTCT